TCACCATGTTGGCCAGGCTGGTCTTGAACTCCTGACCTCGAGAGAGCCACCAGCCTCAGTCTCCCAAAAGTGCTGGGATTACAGGTGTGAGCCACCATACCCGGCTTAATCTTTATATTTTTAGTGAAGACAGGGTTTCACCATGTTGGCCAGACTGGTCTTGAACTCCTGACCTAATGTGATCTGCCCACCTCACCCTCTATAAGTGCTGGGATTACAGGCATGAACCACCATGCCCGGCCGTCTCTCACCCTTTCAATCCTTCTGGGTAAGGGACCATTACAGACTTCCAAGTCTTATTAATGGTATTGAGTCACTGCTTCTGGTTGGGGCATTTCAGGCCATTTTTGTGCTTCCTATACTTTTCTAGATCTAGACGAGCTTTTCCTGTGAGCAACTTTCATGAACTGAGAACCGTTTTAAATTAAGACCTGTTATCATCCAAGAGTTGGCTTCTACAAAATAGCATTTTTCCGATTTCTAAGTAACACATAGTGAGGGCTTAAAGGATATAAATACTGCAGAAATACATTGAGTGTTAGCATCCAGTAACCCCACTCCTTCACCAAGTTAACCTTTAACAACTCACACCACCCTGTGTGTGTGCCCGGCCCAGCTGCAGAGGCACCCACTTGGTCATTCCAGGAGGGGATCTTGAACATGCCATTTTGCGACATGTGTTGCCTTCATCTGTGCCTTGGACATCATTTGATGTCAGTATATTCAAATCTGCATCACTACCAGCCACTTCCTCAAAGCAGGGTTTGTTTAAAGCTAAAACCACATGTTGGATTAGAGCGAGCAGGCTTATCTGCCAGGAAGCAGGGTTTTGGGGATCCCAGCAACCTCTGCCCTGATGCCCCAAGGTGCATTGGTCCACAAGCTGAGGCCAGCTGGGGTGGGGGTGCGGAGAGGGAAGGAAAAGTGTCCAGGGACCAAGAGGACAGCCGGGGAGGGCGAAAGGCCCAGGAACAGGGGCTCCACCTTGCTTTTTCCACTTTTTTTTTTGAGACAGATTCTCACTGTCACCCAGGCTGGAGTGCAGTGGCACGATCTCAGCTCACTGCAGCCTCCGCCTCCGCCTCCGCCTCCTGGGTTCAGGCTTTATCTCCCCTCCCTCAGCCTCCTGAATAGCTGGGATTACACATGCCACCATGCCTGGCTAATTTTTTATTTTTGCTAGAGACAGGGTTTCATCATGTTGACCAGGCTGGTCTGGAACTCCTGGCCTCAAGCAATCCACCCACCTCTATCTCCCAAAGTGCTGGGATTACAGGCCTAAGCCACCTCACCCAGCCCCACCTTGATACTCTTTAGCTCTCTGAGGGGCTTTACCAACATGAGATGCACCTGGGGATAGTTTCAATGCTAAGAAACAGAAGGACCAGAGAGGCTGCAGAGTGCCCAGGCTGGAGCGATCTCAACTCACTACAGCCTCAAACTCCTAGGCTCGGGCGATCCTCCTGCCTCAGCCTCCCAAGTAGCTGGGACCATAGGCATGCACCATCACACCTGGCTAATTTTCATATTTTTTGGTAGGGACTGGGCCTCACTATGTTTCCTACTCTGGTCTCAAACTCCTGGCCTCAAGATATCCTCTCAGTTCAGCCTCCCAAGGACTACAGGTGCACACTACCATACCTACCTGATTTTTCTTTCTTTCTTTCTTTTTTTTTTGGTACGCACAGGGTTTGTGTTCCCCAGGCTGGTCTCAAACTCCTGGCCACAAGAAGGAGGCAAAAGACCAGGCCCTCTACCTGTCAAGGATATAAAAGCAAGCTTCCTGGGAGGGGGCTGAATCGGGAACAATTCCCACAGGTGACAACGTCCTGGGGAATGTTTGAGGAAGGAGGGACACACAGCAAGGCCCAGGACACGACATCCACAGCCCGCTATGTGGGTAGACTCACTCCAGATGCCCTGCAGGCCCACATCTGGACATGGCAGAGTAAACAGACCCCCTGCCCCTACCACATTCTCCTTATCCGCCCTTGAAAACAAGCTAAGGGCGACCTAGCACAGTTCTCTAAACCGAGGCTGATCTCAACAGAGAGCAGCCTAGGCCTTCTCTGAGCTGCCCCCACGGGCAGGCAGATGGGCTTTAGAAATGGTCCCGAGAGGCGCCTCCATGGCAGAGGGCAAGGGCCCGGCAGCCCCCCCAGGGACCCCAAGCAGCTGCCTGGCTCACTCCCCGAACAACAGCAAGATATCTGATCAGTCAGCACCCAGACAGAACGACTCAGCCATATCCAAAGCTGTGGCATGCACATACACGTTCTCACACAAGGACAAGCCACCAGCCACTCACCTGCCCAGGAGCCGCAGCCTCCCGCCCCTCAGTCAGCCTTAAATGCCCTCAGCCAATGGCAGGTGTTTCACAGCCCTTGGCCCCACCTTAAAGGGCTAATTCTACCTCCACATTGATGGTTCTTAGGTGTGAACGCAGATTGCAATCACTTGGGGAGTTTTGAGCATGCCCTGGGCAAAAGGCTGATTGAGTTGGTCAGGGAGGTTGAGGGGTGAGGCCCAGGCCTCGAAGGTGAGTCTCATGTCGAGAACCTTCAGCCTCTGCAGCTGTAGTGTTTTGAGGCCCTTGGGGAAACCATCAAAAGGTGAAGTGGGGCCGGGCGTGGTGACTCACACCTGTAATCCCCACACTTTGGGAGGCCCAGGCAGGCGAATTACTTGAGGTCAGGAGTTCGAGACCAGTCTGGCCAACACAGCGAAACCCCTGTCTATACTAAAAATAAAAAAATTAGCTGGGCGTGGTGGCAGGCCCCTGTAATCCCCGCTACTTGGGAGGCTGAGGCAGGAGAATCACCTGAACCCAGGAGGCAGAAGTTGCAGTGAGCAGAGATTGCACCATTGCACTCCAGCCTGGACAACAGAGTGAGACTCCATCTCAAAATAAATAAATAAAGATATCATTTTTTTAAAAGGTGAAGGGGGATGAGGGTTGGGGGGAACTCCCTCTAGGGAAGCATTGGCATTCTGGATGTTTAAGGTTCCCAGGATCTAGCTAGGTTGAGTGGCCCCTTCCTAAACTCACAGAGCAGGCTTAAAAGCTGCTGCGGAACAGTTCATTAGCGTTTACTCCCAAGGCAGGCAATGAGATTTGGTGGAGGTGAGAATAGATCTGCTTTATATTGAAATGGAAATAAGAATAACATTTCAGGTATTGATTCAGCAAATATTTAGAGTGCCTACTCTAATATTTGTGTGCCATGCCCTGACAAAGCGACAGTGAACGAATGACCTGGTTCCTGCCCTCCCAGCAGTGGAAACAAGATGGCAATTGTAATCTGGCATGGTGGCTCATACCTGTAACCCCAACACTTTGGGAGGCCAAGGCAGGAGAGCTGCTTGAGCCCAGGAGTTTGAGACCACACTGGGCAACATAATGAGACCCTTGAGTCTCTACAAAAAATTTTAAAAATTAGCTGAGAGGGCTGGATGAGGTGGCTGACACCTGTAAACCCAGCACTTTGGGAGTTCAAGGTGGGAGGATCACTTGAGGTCGGGAGTTTGAAACCAGCCTGGCCAACATGGCAAAACCCCATCTCTACTAAAAATACAAAAATTAGCCAGGTGTGGTGGTGCATGCCTGTAGTCTCAGCTACTCAGGAGGCTGAGACAGGAGGATCACTTGAACCTGGGAGGCAGAGGTTGCAGTGAGCCAAAATCATGTCACTGCATTCCAGCCTGGGCGACAGAGCAAGACTACATCACACACACACACACACACACACACACACACACACACAGACAAAGTACCTGCAAGGGGTGGTGCACAACTGTAGTCCTAGCTGTTTGGAAGGCTGAGGCAGGAGCATCACTTAAACATAGGAGTCAAGGATGCTGTGAGCTATGATTGTGCCACTGCATTCCAGCCTGGGTGGACAGAGGTGAGCCACCGCATATGGCCAATTTAAAAAAAAAAATTTGTTTTAGGTCAGGCACGGTGGCTCACACCTGTAATCCCAGCACTTTTGGAGGCCAAGGCGGGCAGGTCACCTGAGGCCAGGAGTTCAAGACCAGCCTGGCCAACATGGCGAAACTCCATCTCTATTAAAAATACAAAAAATTAGCCGGATGTGGTGGCGGGCACATGTAATCCCACCAAAGGGGAGGCTGAGGCAGGAGAATTGTTTGAACCCAGGAGGCAGAGGCTGCAATGAGCCAAGATTGTGACATTACACTCCAGCCTGGGCAACAAGAGCAAAACTCCGTCTCAAAAAAAAAAATTGTGTTTTAGAAATGGGATCTTGCTCTATTGCCCAGACTCAAGCCATCCTCCCACCTCAGCCTCCCAAGTCGCTGGGACCACAGGTGTACGCCACCATGCCTGGTTAATTTGGGTCTCCTGTTACCCAGGCTGGTCTCAAACTTGTGGGCTCAAGCGATTCTCCTGCCTCTGCCTGCTGAGTAGCTGGGATTACAGGCACACACCGCCACTCCTGGATAATTTAGAAAACTTTTTTTTCTTTTTTTGCACAGACAGGGCCTCACTATGTTGCCCAGGTTGGTCTCGAACTCCTGGCCTCAAGCTATCCTCCTGCCTTGGCCTCCCAGGAATGAGCCACCATGCCCAACCACATCAAGCTTTGGAATCCAATAATCATTCTTTGGCTAAATCTAATCAGCCAACCACAGTGGTGCCCCTCAGGAGGTCCCAAGGGTCTCAGGAAGGCAGTAGAAGCAGCACTGTGGGTGGAAACCTGGATGTCAGTGGAAGTCCTGTGCCCTCCCCAACTCCTCAGCCCACTCTGTGTAAGGCCGTGTCCACCCTGGCAGGGAGCCTCTGTGCTGTCCCCCCGACCCCCCGCATCTCCATCCTCATCTTGCCTTCCCACACTCCACCAGCCCCACCTTCCATGCAGCCCATCTCCTCGGCCCTCCCTAGCCTCTGCTGACCCTTGAGGGCCTCTTGCCCACAGGTCTGGCGGTACTTCTGCTCCTCTCTAACAAAGTCTTCCGTTAAATTCTTGAGATTATATTACCTGGATGGGTGTATTTGCCTTTGTTGAACCAGCTTTGCTTCTTCTGATGTAGTAGGAATCGTCAATCCCATTTCACAGAGCAAGAGGCTGGGAACATCTAGGTCACATGATGAGGGAAGGTCTTATCGGTGCGACCTCATCTTCCTCGTGAGGATGCTTTAATGCCTGGTGTCGGGCTGTGCCTCTCTCTCTCTCTCTCTCCTTCTCTCTCTCTCTCTCCCTCCTTCTTTCTCTCTCTCCTTCCTCCCTTTGTTCTTTTCTCTTTCCTTCATTTCCTCCCTCCTTTCCTCATTTCTTCTCTGTACTTCCTCTCTCCCTCCTTCATTTTCCTTTTTTCTTTTCCTTTTTTTTTTTTTTTTTTTTTTTTTTTTTTTTTAGACGAAGTCTCCCTCTTGCTGCCCAGGCTGGAGTGCAGTGGTGTGATCTTGGCTCCCTGTAAACTCTCAGGTTCAAGTGATTCTCATGTCTCAGCCCTCTGAGTACCTGAAATGACAGGCGCCCGCCACCACACTCAGCTAATTTTTCTATTTTTTTAGTAAAGCCGTGGTTTCACCATGTTGGCCAGGCTGGTTTTGAACTCCTGACCTCAGGTGATCCACCTGCCTCAGCTTCCCAAAGTGCTGGGATTACAGGTGTGGGCCACCACGCCCGGCCCTCCTTCCTTTCTTTTTTTCTATTTCTTTTCTTCTTTCCTTCCCTCCCTCCTCCCTATGCTTCTCTCTCCCTCTTTCCTTGCTCTCATTTTTTCCTTTCCCTCCTTCGCTTGTATTATTGTGGTAAAATGCACATAACATGAAATTTACCATTTTAACTATTTAAGTGCACAGCTTGGTGATGTTGAACACATTCACATCACTGTGCAACCACCACCACTACCTGGCTCCAGAACATTATTTTTTTTGAGACAGAGTCTCGCTCTGTTGCCGGGGCTGGAGTGCAGTGGCACAATCTCAGCTCACTGCAACCTCTGCCTTCTGGATTTAAGCGATTCTCCTGCCTCCGCCTCCCGAGTAGCTGGGATTACAGATGCACACCACCACGCCCAGCTAATTTTTGTATTTTTTAAGCAGAGACAGGTGTGTGTCTTCCTGACCCATGTTCATGTGTGTTTCATGTTGGCCAGGCTGGTCTCAAACTCCTGACCTCAGGTAATCCACCCGCCTCAGCCTCCCAAAGTGCTGGGATTACAGGTGTGAGCCACCACACCCTGTATCCAGAACATTTTAATCTTTTCGAATGGAAACCCTGTCCCCTGAAGACTCACCCCCTCATTTTCCCCTGCAACCCCAGCCCCTGACAGCCACACCACGTCACTTTCTGTGTCTGTGAGTTTGACACCTCCAGGGGCCTCACAGAAGAGGCATGGTGAGGTGTTTGTCCTTGTGTGTCTGGCTTCTTTCACTCGGGGCAATGTCCTCGAGGCTCTTCCATGCAGGAGAGTGTGTCAGAATTTTCTGCCTTCTGATTCACTTCTCTAAAGCAAAGCACATCTTTCTGTTTCTGGAGTATCATTTATACTGCTATTTACGGCGGCATCCCAAGGCGGGGTGTGGGGAGCGGCCCTCCCCAGTAGCGGGAGCATTTGTCACTGACAGTGTTTCTCATTGCCAGGGCAGGGAGCTCATGAAAGAGGGCTGATTTCTATTTGGATTTTATTGTTTTAAAATCTTCTGTCGTTGATCCCCTTGTTGCCACGGCCCTGGCCAGCTGCTCCCATGGTCCCCCAGCTCACCACATCGCTGGGCATTCATGTATAAATACATATTTATTTTGTTATTAATATAAAAAGGGTTTTTTTGTAAACCCCCAATTGGAGAGTTGACGGCACACTTCCCTCAGGGGATTCAGCAAAGATTTTGTGCTTGAGGTCAGTCTTCGGGAATCCCCTGGCTCCGACAAATGCAGCTGTCGGCGCGCCTGGCCTGTGTGTGTGTCTGCATGTGTGTGTCTGTGCATGTGTGTCTGCACGTGTGCTGCGTGCCTGGCCTCTGTGTCTGCGTGTGTGTCTGTGCATGTGTCTGCACGTGTGCTGCGCACCTGGCCTGTGTGTGTCTGCGTGTGTGCTGCACATCTCTATGTGTGTGTCTGTGTGTGCTGTGTGTTTCTATGTCTGCATTTATGTGTATGTCTATGTGTCTGTGTGTGTCTGTATGTCTGTTTGTGTATGCCTGTGTACGTCCATGTCTGTCTCTGTGTATGTCTGTGTTTGTATGTCTAGGTGTGTATTTCTGTGTGTGTCTTCTATGTGTCTGTGTCTCTGTGTATCTCTTTGTGTGTCTGTGTCTCTGTGCGTGTCTTCCTGACACGTGTCCATCTATGGGTCTCTATGTCTGTGTGCATGTGTGTGTCTATGTATCTGTGTGTCTATGTGTATCTGTGTCTATGTATCTGTGTCTGTGTGTGTTCGTGTCTGTGTCTGTGTATCTGTGTGTCTGTGTGTGTATATGTGGGTGTGTCTGTGTGTGTCCATGTCTGTGTGTATCTGTATGTTTTATCTGTGTGTCTGTGTGTTTATGTGTGTGTGTGTCCGTGTGTGTATCTGTGTGTCTATGTGTATCTGTGTTTGTGTCTGTGTGTCCGTGTGTGTCCATCTGTATCTGTGTGTCTGTGTGTGTCCATCTGTATCTGTGTGTCTGTGTGTGTCCATGTGTCTGTGTGTGTATGTGTGTGTGTGTGTATGTGTGTGTGTGTTCATGCACAAGTGTCAGGAAGTCCCCACTTCCCCTCCTCCAGATGCCAACCCTTTGGTCTACTGCTGAGGTTCCTGGTAGACTTCATGAGGAACAAGGGCCGGGGGGATGAGGAGGAAAGGGGGGATAAAGGAAGAAAAAGGAGGTGCAGGGAGAGAAAAGGCAGCAAAGGGAAACCAAAGGCTCCACTGTAAAACTTTTTGTAGGGGTAGAGATCATGTTGCCTGGACTGGTCTTGAACTCTTAGGCTCTAGCAATCCTCCTGCCTCAGCCTCACAAGTCACCAGAACTACCAGCGCGTGCCACCATGTCTGGCTAATTTTTAAAATTTTGTAGAGATAGAGTCTTGCTATGCTGCCCAGATAGCTCTCGAATTCCTGAGCTCAAGCAGTCCTCCTGCCTCAGCCTCCCACCAGTGCTGGGATTACAGGTATGAGCCACCATGCCCAGCTAATTTTTAAACTTTTTGTAGAGATGGGGTCTCACTATGTTGCCCAGGCTGGTCTTAAACTCCTGAGCTCAAGTGATCCTCCCACCTCAGCCTCCCAGAGCTCTGAGATTGCAGGTGTGAGCCACCACACAGGGCGTGTTCACCCTTTCATTAATTCAATCTTGTCTTAGACAACTGTGGTAGCACTGGGGATAAACTGGAAGACAGAGCATCCCCTTCCCTCCCACGGGGCTCATCATCTGCCAGGGTTCAGACCATAACCAGCCTGCAATGGAGGAAGCCATGGAAATCTGGAGGTTCCATGTGGAGCTTTTTGCCCAGTCCCAGGGATAGATGATGGGGAGGAGAGGGAAGGAGTTGCCTTCTTATAAAGCACTGGTTCACACTCTAAGAAACCTGGTTCACACTCTAAGAAAATGAAAATTGGGCTGGGCAAGATGGGTCACGCCTGTAATCCCAAGACTTTGGGACGCTGAGGCAGGCAGATCATCTTTGGTCAGGAGTTCAGGACCAGCCTGACCAACACAGTGAAACCCTGTGTCTACTAGAAATACAAAATTAGCTGGGCATGGTGGTACACACCTGTAGTCCCAGCTACTCAGGAGACTGAGGCAGGAGAATCACTTTAACCCAGGAGGTGGAGGTTACAGTGAGCTAAGATTGTGCCACTGAACTCCAGCCTGGGCAACAGAGGGAGACTCTGTCTCAAAAAAGAAAAAAAAAAAATTAAAAGGCTGGGCGCAGTGGCTCACACCTATAATCCCAGCACTTTGAAAGGCTGAGACTGGTGGATCATCTGAGATCAGGAGTTCAAGACCAGCCTGGCCAACATGTGAAACCCCATCTCTATTGAAAATACAAAATTAGCTGGGCATGGTGGTGCACACCTGTAGTTTCAGCTACCTGGGAGGCTAAGGCAGGATAATTGCTTGAACCCAAGAGGCAGAGGTTGCAGCAAGACAAGATTGCACCACTGCACTCCAGCCTGGGTGAAAGAGTGAGACTCTGTCTCAAAAAAAGAAAGAAGGAAAGAAAAATAAAATGAAAATTGGAGCACGTGTAAACCAGCCTTCCTGGGTTGGGCTGACAGTGATGGGGACTGGCTTCCTTCACTCTGGGCCATTCCGCTCTGTCTTGTCATCTGTGGAGCATAAATGAGAGTGAGAAGGTGGATGGGGCAGAATTGATTTTCTTGCCCAAACTGACTTCACAGAGCATCCTAATAAAAAGATGGGTCATTTACAATCCTGCCGTTCTCCTGAGGCTTTTCAGCCTTGAATAAAATGAACAATCCAGGACTCTGCTCCCCAGCCCTGTGGCTGCAGCCTGCCCTAGAGGGGCAGAGGAGGAGGAGGGAAGCATGGGCAGAAGTGCAGCCAGGTGTCACACAGCCTCAGTGAGCACCAGCACATACCATGTCCTGGAAGAATGGGTTTTCTCTCTTTTTAAATTTTGTTTTGAGACGGGGTCTTGCTCTGCTGCCCATGCTAGAAATGCAGTGGTGCAATCACAGCTAACTGTAGCCTCCAGGTCCTGGGCTCAAGCGATCCTCCCACCTCAGCCTCCTGAGTAGCTAGGACCACAGGCACATGACACCATGCCTGCTTAATTTTTGTATTTTTTGTAGAGACAGGGGTTTGCCATCATGCCCAGGCTGGTCTCAAACTCCAGGGCTCATGTGAACCTCCCACCTTGGCCTCCCAAAATGCTGGGATTATAGGCGAGAGTCACTAAGCCCTGCTTAAATACTTCTTGACAAAGAGAAATGATGATGGAGAGCAGGGGAAAGGACAGGAAAGGAGGATGAAAAATCAGAAAGATTTTTGAGGTATTTTGAAGACAATAAAATAAAAATATCACTTTAATGCCAAAGAAAATCAAATTGAGGTATAAATCCAAACACAGTATGAAAAAAGAAAGACATAGAGC